AAAAAAAAAAAAAAAAAAAATCCACAGTTAATGTATACCAGATATATCAGTCAGACTTTTCCAGAGAAATAGAACCAATGAGACAGTATATATAACAAGTGTGTACACACACATACACACATAAACACAGAGTTGATCCTCCTTTTCCATGGCAGTTATTCCGATTAAGAGTCATCACAAACACTGAACTAGCAAACACTAAACCTTTGCCCCTCAGGAAAATACACACACACACATCTCACCTAGACTGTATCTTAAATCCCCAAGACAGCTCATCTTGATAGATTTCATTTTTTATGTTTTGCAAAGAAAAATAAAAGGTTCAAACATGTAAAGTGACTTGCTGGAGGCTGCCTCACTAAATGCCGGAGTTGGCATTCAAATCCTGTCCGACCTGCCCCGAGCCGAGACTTCTTGCCTCTCCCCGCACTGACTAACCTTCTGCCTTCTCTATTCACTCCTGCCTTAGAGCTGGAACCAGGGGCAGAGGGCAGTCTTATTGACCTCAGCTGGGAATATGTGCAGCGGCAACGCAGGTTTTTTTTGCTGTTCTGCATATCTCCACGAATAGCAAAGAAAACAAGCGAACATTGCTTTTGGGTGACAAATTAATTTTTGTTAGTAGGTGAATTAACGCATATGCAATCCAGAAATAATGATGTGTGTGTGTGTGTATGTGTGTGTGTGTGTGTGAAGAGATTTATTTTAATGATTTGGCTAACTTGATTGTGTGGACTGGCAAGGATAAACCCCTTGGGGCAGCCTGGGGGCTTAGAAACTCAGGCGGGAGTGGCAGTTTTGAGTCAGAACTTCTTCCTGAGAAATTTGGTTTTACTCTTTTGCTCTCAAGGCCTTCAACCAGATGAGGCTCGGCCACAGGAAGGGTAGTCCTCTTTCAAGTCCCCGAGTGTGGGTGCTAACCACAGCTACAGTAGACCTTCAGGGCAACGCCACAAATCCCTGTTTGATTACAAGGCTGGGCAAGTTGACACACAAAATTAACAACTATACCAGGTGACCAGGTTTACTTTTATGAAGAGGAGGAGGAGAGGAAAGATGAGGAAGAGAAAGAGGAAGAGGGAGGGAAAATAACACTAGAATGAAACTGCATGAGCACATATATAAATATATGTAAAATTTTATACATATATTTTAAAGCATAAAACAGAAAAATCCTGGTCCACATGAACATACACTCACTTGCATGTAGTAAAGGTTATAAATAGAAGATAATTCTTTTTAATGGAGAAAAGAAAGAAAGTCACCCTATGCAACGTTAAAACCTATTACAAAGCTGTGGCCACTGAGATTGCGTTTCACTAGCATAAGGACAGACAAGTTTACCAATGGAACAAAAAAGGCAATTCTTAAGCATATACATTCACACACACACAAAATATCAGAAATTTAGAATATAGAATATGGGGGATAATACATTTGGAAAATAGAAAAGTTGTCTCACTATGTGGAAAAACAATAAAAACAATCCACTCTATATAAAATAACAAATTCCAGACTGATTAAAATGTAAACATGAATGAAAACAGTGTGAAATAATTTTCTAAATGTTAGAAAATAAATTTGTGAACTTTAGATGTGGAATAAATTTTTAATCAAAACTCACAATAGTAAAAATTATAAAAGTCAAAATAATGGATATGACTAAAGTAAAATGAAAAATTCTGCTTATTCAGCATATTTAGGCAACTGATAATACATCGGGAATTATTTGCAATGTTTATAACAAGAAATGATTACTATATCTAGCTTATATAATGAACTTCTGAAAATCAAGGCAAACGCAGGAAACAGTAGAAAACTGAGCAAAAGACAATTTTCAGAAGGTGAAAAACAAACGGCAAATAAGTATATGAAGACCTGCTCTACATCACTAGTTGTCAGAGAAATGAAAATAAAAACAAAAATAAAATACCACTTTACAGACATTATGTTTATGAAAATTATAGTCAAATAATACCAAATAGTAACAATAATATGGGGAATGAGAACCCGTTCCCTGTTGGTAAGAGTATAAACTTGTGCAACCAGTTTTGTGAGCAGTCAAGCTGCATTTAGTGAAATCAACTTTGGGTATACCTTACAACCGAGAAATCCCTCTTTTTAGTATATAATCAAAGGAAACACTCATCCCGTGCGTTCAAAAAGGTGTTTATTATAGTATCTTTTGAGGTCAGCCAAGATTGTATAATATAATATATAATAAATATATAATATACAATAATATAATGTATAGATAATGCAGGATGGAGAATTATTTAACTCCAGCTACAGTGGCTTACTCAACTGTAGTGATTGAAATTGGAGGGAAGAAGACTCCCGATGGCCCAGTTGCCCTTACTAGTCTTCTGCTCCACCACTATAGGTAGAGGCTTTGCACCTTTATATTTGCAAGATAGCTGCTTACCTTCAGCTATCCAAGAAACACGAGGATGAGAAAAATGTAGGGAAAAGTCATGCCCTTTCTAGCTGGAAGCATTTTTTTCTGTAATCTACTCCCAGGAAAAAGCACTTACATTTCTTTGATCAGAAGCAAGTCATACAGACACTGCTAGATGCAAGGGAGTGTGGTGAGATGAATATTCTAATTGGGCACATTGCACCTAGATCAAAAAGGGAATCTGTTAGTAATCAAAAAGGGGAGAAAAAGTATTGAGTCTGCAGTTGGCACTGTCTTTCACATATGAATATTCATTAGATAGAAAACGTGGCGAGGGTATTAAAATGAGATGAAAGGTAAAATGTGAGGAGAATAAGACTACAGAAGGAAATAAAAAGATTTATGTTGACAGTGTATCTTGAACAGAGGTGTACAACCAGCAACAATACCAAAAAATAACGAAAACAACAAAAGCAAGATTACCATATTAAACAAGATATATTTGAGGTACTGAAAGATGTTTAATATAGTTTAAATATGGAGTTTGGAGTGGTGAGAAATAAAGAGGAAAAGTTAAAACAGGGCCTTGTAAACAAGATTAAAAAGCTTGGAGTTTATACTAAAACCACTTGAGAATCTATTAAAAGTTATTCATCTTCAGCACCAACAAATACAAAATTGTGTAAATCTAATAGAAAGTACAGTCAATATTTGATAATTATCTAAAGCAGACCTATATCTACCAGTGTGAGAACTCAGAAAAATAATC